TGTGGAACTCATTCATTCATATATTGTTTTTAATAAAAAATTGTATTCTTTTTCGTGAAACTTTAAATCTTCTTTGTTGTGAAATCCCCGATAAATTCTTTATCAGCATGTTTGATTGGAAGGATTAAAGCATGGGATTAGCATTATTAATCCGTGGGCCCAATCATCCTATGTTTGTTTTGACATTTTGGTTTAGGACTATTAATCCAATGGATAATTAATCCAACAAATTTGTAGGATTATTAAATTTGTAGGATTATTAGTAATGGGGTAGGGGTGGGATAGTTAATACCACACTAATTTGATTGGATTATTAATACCTCACTATTAGTATTGTGAATCAAACATGACCTATAAGTATTCTATGACTTATTAATGATTTTTATTGTTAAATTATTTTAATTGATTGATTTAATTATTTTTATTAAAAAAATGTTATATAAAATTCTTTGTTATATAAAAAATTGTCAGCCTATCTCTCTCTAATGAGAGCCTCTCTCTCTTGAATGAGAGCTTCTCCACCCTAGGTCTCCTCTGGGTATTTCTGCTGGGTCCTTTCCAGATTTATGTGCTTTGGTCTTTACTTTTTCCTCTTTTCCCCAGTGGTGAGTTTCTTGGCTCCCCTTTGTTTTATCCCTCCCTCATTTTCTCCCCATAGTGTCTTCTGAGCTTGCGATGGCAACCGAACCCGTGGGTTTGAATGAGCCAGACTCCCTGGAGTTGGAGGAAGGCTCTGATGAGAGTATTGACACCTCCCACCTGTGCTTGATTGGAAAGATTTTAGCCCCTAAACCCCTCAATACGCAAGCGGTTCAACGTATTCTTTCGGGGGCCTAGAAAACGCGTGGTTCTGTTAACATTTCAGCGTGGCCCGATAATGTCTTCCTCTTCAGTTTTGGGAATCTGGATGACCGAGCGCTGATTCTGCAGCAAACTCCTTGGTTGATTATGGGCAATCTATTGGTACTCCAGCCTCTGCAAGTCGGCAAAACAATATCGGAAATGGACTTCTCCTTATGCCCCTTTTGGGTCCAGGTTCACGGCTTACCGATGGAGAGAATGACCCGAAAGAATGGGCAAATCATTGCTGCGAAGATTGGTAAGCTGATTGGAGTGGAGGCCCCATCAGACGGGCTACTGTTAGCTCGAAGTTTTCTAAGGCTTAGAGTGGAGATCAATGTAACAGCTCCTCTCCCTAAGGGGTTCATGTTGAAACGACAAACTGCCCACTCGTCGGAGCTTAAAGACACATGGGTGGAATTTAAATATGAGAGACTTTTAGATTTTTGCTATGATTGTGGACGCATTGGCCACGAGAAACCTTCATGTAAATTTGTCTCACGAGAGGAAGGTCGGACTTCTGGTTATGGTCCTGGGCTGAGAACTGGAGTAGCCAAGAATCTGGGATTATCTGTGGCTTACTATCAAGACTAGATTGATGAGATGGAAGCCCGGCTGCGACCCTTTCTCCGGCAGCCATACTCTCCAATCCTGAAGGAAGGAAATCCCGTACACGTGAACCAGGCTACGAATCAATCTCGTACGACCACAGTTGGGGCACCACGTTCACCTCCACCACCTTGCCTAGACTCAGAACCAGCCGTTATGCACGACCACTCAACACGTGGCGCACATATTGGGAAAACGACAACTCTGGTTAGTACTCCCTCCCTTTTCCAGAGTTTAGAACCTTCGTTATCCCTGAATATTCCCTTTTTACATACTCCCCCCACACCCTCATTCAACAGTATCAATACTCCTAACCCCAGCCCACTCTTTGAGAGCAGCCTGTATAAACTTGGTAGGCCCCCAAGCGCAACCCATTCTGGGCTACCCTACTTTGTGACCGAATCCTCAGATAGCCCCACCTCACAAGATCACTCACGATCGCTTCTGTCAACACAAAATGATCCTCAAACCCAGAGTGGCCCAACTAGCCCTTCACAGACTACTAGTGAAATATTAGCCTTGGATCTTCCAGAAGCCCCTGAGTCCCTCCTCTCCTCCATAGTTCTAAATCGCGGTATCGGGTAACGTAACGGTATCGATCGCAGAGTATCGGTATCGGTAGTATCGATCGGTACGTAGCGGACATCGGGCGTCGCGGCTTTGAAATTTCAAAAATCATTAACAATCCATCTAAAACTCAATTTTATACATTTTTTTTGACTCTTTTAGCCTTAATTTATCACATTTCAATCAAAATTTTGATATGTAGAGGCACTTTCTTGACTCATTTTCAACTAAATGATATGTATTTATTTTAGTCTCAACATTTTTATTTGGCATATATGTTAAACTTTTAATATAAAATTGATGTGGAAATATTTTTTTACTTATTTTCAACAAGGAAATACTTCCACATGCACAACAAATTAATAAGAGAAAGAGGGACATGAAAATAAATCATTCGTTTCAGTCATAATCACATATAAATATTTGAAGAATTATAAATATATATTAAAATATATCTCATTCCCATCCCATACCATAATGTAAATAAAAAAATAACCACAGAAAAAAGAAAAAAAAAAAAAACAAAAACAAAAACAAAAAAAAATTATAAACAAACCGAAC